TTTCCGCCCTTCTTCTCCCCCTTGTTCCTCCGTCAAGTTCCTCCTAATCCTCCTATACGTGCAAACATATGATATTTGTCCTTCTCTGCCTGACTTATTTCGCTCAGCATAACACCCTCAAGGTCCATCCATGTTGCTACACATGGCCAGATTTCATTGTTTCTCATTGCCATGTAGTATTCCATGGTATAGATAAACCACATCTTCTTGATCCATTCATCTGTTGATGGACACTTAGGCTCTTTCATGTTTTAGCTATTGTGGAGAGTGAATGGCAGCCATATTTTAGAAGCATATATTTAACTTCATAAAATGACCATGGCAGCATTCTTTTTCCTATATTGAGAGTAATTTACAAAACATTATCAGAAGTTCTTTCTAGAAATTTAAAGACTTTATTGGCATTCTCATATAAAACAATACAATAAAAATCATCTCAGATACTAATTTGTAAAGAGTCAGAATACTTTCCTAAAAATAAAATCCTAGGCCTGATATAACTTATCTTTTCTTCTATTTATTCTAATTCTCCACTTTAAAAACAACATTTAAACATTTAAATTTGCATGAGCCCATAATGTGAAGATATGATATTTCATATCTTTATATTTATGATAGTCATTTACTTTTTAAAAGTCTGATTATTCCAATTTATTCCAGTACCAATAACATTTGAGTACATCCTTTTCCTGTTGACTTGAAATGCTAATTTTACCATATGCTAAATGCCTATGTTTATTTTAAGCCTAGCAAGCTACTTTCCCACTGAATTTACACCTGTTTTTGGGCTTGAGCCACATTGTTTCAAATATATAGATTTATGTTATTTTATAATATCTGCTACCATACCACCTCTCTAAATCTTTTTTAGGTGGAGTTTCAATTTTGGGGTCCAGAAACCTTTGGGGAAAGGTATAGAAAGTATAGTTAGAATTTCATTTATTCCATCTGCTATAAAGCCTCCACTCTACTTCTACCCCAAATTCAGGCATAGTAATATCTTTTCTTCTGTCTGACTTCTAAAGCCAGAAATAAAATTGGCCATGCTCATTTCTAAGTTTGTTCTATGTACTGTGCTAGGAGGGAAACTTGGGGCCTCTCAAAACTGTATGGATTCCAGTATTTCATTCCCAACAATATCATACAACTTCTTCATTTCTAGATCAAAAATGACAAAATGCTGAATGTCAGCATTTTTTCTTGGAATTTTGCTGAAGATGGGAGATAGGAGGCTTAAATCAGCAGCCCTTTAAATCCCCCTTCAGTCTATTCCCATCACTATTATATCTATCAGTAATTCTTTCATCGGATATATGTCCCATCTCTGTTTTTCAATATTCACACATGGTTTTCTGTAATCATATATTTCCTTAGTCATTTCCATGAGAATATGAGTAAGAAGAACATTTGAAGCCACTTATAGAGAAAAGCAAACAAAAAGATATCAGATGGGAGTTTCCCTCAATTACATTTTAGATAATTTATAAATTTATATATGTTTGTATTTATCTTTTAATCCTTTTCAACTATTACAATAGAAGATTATTCCTTTTTTTCCATCTAGTACCATACCTCCATGCATCTTAGGCTATGGATTTTATTGCTGCTATATTTTCTGAAACATGTCACCATCCATCTCACTCTCTGCTATGGTATGATTTCCATTGTCTTTAAAATACGTTCAAATCTCTTCTGTTAAATATATACAAATCAATATTTCCAGAACCTTTATTTTCCCTTAGCTATTTCTTTCTCTTTCCTATTTCTGAAGTTATTTCTTTTTTTTAATTTTTAAAAAATTTTTTTTCTGAAGTTATTTCTTGAATAAACTGTTCCTTAATGCTGTACTTCCTTACATCTCTTCTCAATTTCCTCCAATCTAGCTTATAACCACTTTAGTTTACCTCAACTAAGTTAATCACTATGCTTCTTTTCTCTCAATATGAAGAACATTTGTCAGTCTACTTATTATTAGACTTCTTAGCAGGATTGAAATCTCAGTACATTCTCTTGTGTGCCCTTCCCTTCACTTCCCTGACACACTACTGTCTGATGTTACTCCAATTGCCCCACTTGCTCCATTTCCCTATCTTTAATAGACTCCTTCCTCATGCATGCAATGAATTTGGGAGTTCTTAATGGCTTGACCCTGGATCCTTCTCTTGTGCCATATTCTCTCAATAGTCAATTTGTACATCACCTGGACATTTTCATCTTTAACCCATTCTTCTCTGAGCATCAGACTTGTACACTCTTCCCTGCTTCTGGAAGGTAATTTAATTGGAAAGCCTTTTGCTGAGTAATTCTTATTTTAAAAGATAAATAAAAATAAATAACTCCCATTGGAATTAGTGAAACAATATTATTTCAATAATTAGATAAATATACACATGATGCTCAATATCTGTATAATAAGAACATTAATGCAAAATGTAGTAATGAATAACTTTTCCAAAAAGCAAATCAGAAAATCATCTCTCATCCTCTTTTTAGTAAACTTCAATGGTCTCTCATTACTTGTAGTGCAAAGACTAAAATTCTTAATGTGGCCTACTTACCTCTACCTCATCACCTTACACAATGCCTCTCTTCCTCTATGCCTTTCCAAGCCCATTAGTCTTCTTCCAGTGATTAGAACATGCTATAGGTCTTTGCTTATGTTGGTCTCTGAGCCTGGACTACCTCCCTCCATCTTCCTCTTCATCATAGCCTAACTAGTGTCTGTCCTTCCTTCAGATTTCTGTTCAATCATCACTTCCTTAATGAAGCTCTGATTGCCTTTTCTTTACTTCCTATTTGTCTCTGTGTAGCTTTTCTTGAGCGTTCTTATCACTATTTTTTACATTTATATTATTGACCATTCGATCATTAGTAGTAGATTTCTCAAGGCCTGGACTTTTGTCTTGTTTGTCTTCTTAGTTGTTATCATTAGGCCCTAGTACAGTGCCTGGCATGTTGTAGCCACTTGATATTTACTTGTGGAATGAATGAAAGAAAGGAGGGATAAGTGGAATTTCCCATTTTCCTTTTTTAAATCATGAAACATTCGGATTATGACTGTAATTCTATGAATGTTGATTCATCATTCTTTTGTATTATTTTCTAAAATATTTATATTTTCTTTAATAATAGTTATTTAAAATGCTGTTTAAAAATTTTTGAATGATTGGCATTTATACCTCCGCTTTATTTAGTTCTAATTTTATTATATTTTTTCCTGAAATTTATTTATTGTTTTACATTGTAAATAAATACTAGTGCTTTTCCCTTATGGTTATATTCATATTAATGTTATTTTCCTTATGCTGCATTGTATTTATTGGAAATGTATAAATATATTTCTGTTTGCTAATTCTTTTATATGAGGACATCTATGAAAAATTTATATTTTCTGACAGCAAGGTGTGGGGATTTCCAGACTCTGTTCTCTGTTTTTTGATCATGAAAATAATCTTCCTTTTAATTTTGTACTGCTGGAGTAATATATCCCAGTGAATATTCAGTGTTTTGCAGACCACTAGACTGAGGGCTATTTTTACCTGCTCTGTTTCACAATTCTTTAGCTATAAGAATAAAAAATTATTTTTATGTAACTTGATGTAAATATTCACTTTTGGGGAGACACTATACAAGATAATGATAATAATAATACTTGAAACGTATATAATGTTTTGGTATGGCAGGACTGATAGGTTTTAACCCTATTAACTCTTTTAATTCTCAAAACAATACTCCAAAATAGTTACTATTTTATCATCCTTATTGTTTAAGTGTGCAAAAGAAAGCACAGGGAGAGAGGTTAAGTTACTTAAAGACACACAGAAAGCAGATAGCAAAGATGGGGTTCCAACCAAAAGCTCATGCTTTTAACCACTAAGTGTATTTCTTCTCTAGAATAAAGATTACTTTACATACTTTAATTCAATTAATTTACCCAGAAAGTAGGTATCAGGTGGATGACATTAACTCCTTTTGAAAATGAGGAAACTGAAGTTCAGAGAGGGGAACTAGCCTTCCAAAGGTCACAGACATTTGAAGTGTCCATGTTCAAAAATGCACTGAGTTCTAGTAATCATCTTTCTACATGAAGCTGACTCTAAACCTGTAACTCTCATCCTGTCACATGCAGACAAGGAAGACTGTAAATCTGAGAATGCAGTATTCTCAACAATTTGTACAGAACTACTCATCTCAATTCCAACTTCTTTATGTAACCTACTGTACTGTGTTCTTGGAGAGAAGGGCATGAGAACAAACAAAAGTTAAATGTCAATAGCACTATGTTAGAACTGGTACCTACTTTATAGGAGTCACTTCAATAAATATGGGATGAATGAGTATTCTATAACTTTGTTTTTCAGTGATCTTTTTGCAAAAGACTTAGTAGACATTCCTCACAGGAAATGAAAATCAGACACTATTTCCTGATTTATTTTGGTTATTAGATTTTTGCTTTGTTTAGATTTTTGCTCAATGTTTCACTGGTAAGTAATTGGTGAATGTAAAATGGACTTTATCTTGTTACTGCATGTTCAGAGTACAAAAGATAGTTTGGGGCAGATGATATGCATTTAATCAATATTTGTTGAAATGATAACTGTTAAGAGAAGGCACATATTACCTTCAGGGGTAGCAAAATTTATTTTGAGAATAAAGATTATTTGATATTAATATATAGAAAAACCTATATATTTCCTTTAAAAACATGGTTCAAGTTTTCACAAAAGATTTTGGTCTCACTCAAATATGTGTACCCTTTGGCAAAACTATTAATCATGCTTTAGTTAAACTGATGGCTAGTAATTATTTTTTACTTTAAAGCATGTTTGTAGATTTTAATCTTAGGAATCTAAATGTGTATGGTATTAATAAATAGTATTGATAAACTGTAAGTTATTTATAATAATGAGTTCCATATAGGGTTATAAAAATAATATTTCAAAGTTTATGAATAATATAATTAAAATATACTATTCTTTTCTTTGAATATGTGTAGCTCAGTCCATTTTTAAAACATTCTGTTCTGAAGAAGACATTCAATGTCACCCTACCAAAACCCTCACTGATCAAGAGAGAAAACACTTTGACTACAGGACAAAAAGACAAACAAAAATGCCCAGGAAGCAAAGTAAAATCTTCTAAATGGTAAGTGTGCTTATCTCAGTGAATCATGGTGTTGCTACATTTTTACAATCCATAAGTTATCTTTCATAGGAATCTCTGAGACAAATATTTTTTTTTCTGTCTTTGAAACAATGCATTTGTATCCCTATTCTAAAGATTGGTTATGTTTATAACCCCAGGGAGTAATTAACATATTTTAGTAGAGGCCACTCTGTATGCTGCAGAAATTAGTGTTATTCTGATCAGGAATAGCCATCATATATTCATCAAGAAAGTCTACTCTTGATTTGTCTTTAATGCTAAGATAAAAGAGATAACTTTAAAAGGTGAAGTTGACAGCCTTTGTTAAATTAACCTATCTTTTATTTATTTTTTTCTTTCATAGTTCATTGTCAATTTGGTTTCCATATAACACCCAGTGCTCATCCCAACAAATGCCCTCCTCAATGCCCACCACCCCCCTTCCCTTCTCCCTCACCCCCATCAGCCCTCAGTTTGCTCTCAGTATTCAAGATTCTCTCATGGTTTGCCTCCCTCCCTCTCCCCAGCTATTTTTCCCCTTCTCCTCCCCCATGGTCCTCAGTTAAGTTTCTCCTAATCCTCCTATAAGTGGAAGCATATGGTATCTGTCTTTCACTGTCTGACTTATTTCACTCAGCATAACACCCTCAAATTCCATCCACGTTGCTACACATGGCCAGATTCATTCTTTCTCATTGCCATGTAGTATTCCGTTGTATAGATAAACCACATCTTCTTGATCCATTCATCAGTTGATGGACACTTAGGCTCTTTCCATGTTTTGGCTATTGTTGAGAGCGCTGCTATGAACATTGGGGTATATATGCTCCTATGCATCAGCACTCCTGTGTCCGTTGGATAAATTCCTAGCAGTGCTATTGCTGGGTCATAGGGGAGTTCTATTGTTAGTTTCCTGAGGAACCTCCACACTGTTTTCCAGAGGGGCTGCACCAGTTTGCATTCCCACCAACAGTGTAGGAGGGTGCCCGTTTCTCCACATCCTCTCCAGCATCTAGAGTCTCCTGATTTGTTCATTTTAGCCACTCTGAGCAGCGTGAGGTGGTATCTCAGTGTGGTTTTGATTTGTATTTCCCTGATGATAAGGGACACTGAGCATCGTTTCATATGTCTGTTGGCTATCTGGATGTTCTCTTTGGAGAAGTGTCTGTTCATGCCTTCTTCCCATTTCTTCACTGGATTATTTTTCACGTGTGGAGTTTGGTGAGTTCCTTATAGATTTTGGATAGCCCTTTATCTGATATATCATTTGCAACTATCTTTTCCCATTCCGTCTGTTGCCTATTAGTTTTAATTATTTTTTCCCTTGCTGTGCAAAAGCATTTTATCTTGATGAGGTCCCAGTAGTTCATTTTTTCTCTTGATTCCCTTGCCTTTGAGGTGTGTCAAGTAAGAAATTGCTGCGGTTCAGGTCAAGGAGGTGGTTCCTGCTTTCTCCTCTAGGGTTTTGATAGTTTCCCAGCTCACATTCAGGTCCTTTATCCATTTTGAGTTTATTTTTGTGAATGGTGTAAGACAGTGATCCAGTTTTATTCTTTGGCATGTTGCTACTCAGTTCTCCAAGCACCATCTGTTAAAGAGACTGTCTCTTTTCCATCGGATACTCTTTCCCGCTTTGTCAAAGATGAATTGGCCATACATTTGTGGGTCCAGTTCTGAGTTCTCTATTCCATTGGCGTATGTGTCTGTTTTTGTGCCAATACCATACTGTCTTGATGATGACAGCTTTGTAGTAGAGGCTAAAGTCTGGGATGGTGATGCCTCCCGTTTTGGGTGTTTTCTTCCATATTACTTTGGCTATTCGGGGTCTTTTTGGTCCCATATAAGTTTTAGGATAGTTTGCTCTGGCTTTGAGAAGAATGCTGGTGCAATTTTGATTGGGATTGCATTGAATGTGTAGATCGCTTTGGGTAGTAATGACATTTTAACAGTATTTATTCTTCCGACCCACGAGCATGGAATGTTTTTCCATTTCTTTGTGTCTTCTTCAATTTCCTTCGTAAGTTTTCTATAGTTTTCATCATACAGATCTCTTATATCTTTGGTTAGGTTTAGTCTTAGGAATTTTACGGTTTTTTGTCAAATTCTGAATGGGATCAGTTTCTTGATTTCTCTTTTTGTTGCTTCATTATTGGTGTATAAGAATGCAACCAATTTCTGTACATTGATTTTGTACCCTGCAACTTGGCTGAATTCATGAATCAGTTCTAGTAGGCTTCTGGTGGAGTCTGTTGGATTTTCTATGTAGAGTATCATATTGTCTGTGAAAAGTGAAAGTTTGACTTCTTCTTTGCCAATTCTGATGTCTTTTATTTCCTTTTGTTGTCTGATGGCTGATGCTAGGACTTCCAGCACTATGTTAAACAACAGTGGTGAGAGTGGACATCCCTGTCGTGTTCCTGATCTCAGGGGGAAAGCTCTCAGTTTTTCGCCATTGAAGATGATCTTAGCTGAGGGCTTCTCATAAATGGCTTTTGTGATGTTTAAGTAAGTTCCTTCTATCCTGATTTTCTTCAGGGTCTTTATTAAGAAGGGATGCTGTAGGGGCGCCTGGGTGGCTTATTTGGTTAAGCGTCTGACTTTCGCTTAGGTCATGATCTCACGGTTCGTGGGTTCGAGCCCCACATCGGGTTCTGTGCTGACTGCCAGCTCAGAGCCTGGAGCCTGTTTCGGAGTCTGTGACTCCCTCTCTCTCTGACCCTCCCCTGATCACAATGTCTTTCTCTCTCTCTCTCTCTCTCTCTCTCTCCTAGAAATAATAAAAAAAAAAAGGATGCTGTAATTTGTCAAATGCTTTTTCTGCATCCATCGACAGGATCAAATGGTTTTTACCTTTTCTTTTGTTAATGTGATATCACATTGATTGATTTGCGAATATTGAACCAGCCCCATAACCCCGGAATGAATCCTACTTGATCATGGTGGATAATTCTTTTTATGTGGTGTTGAATTCGATTTGCAAGTATCTTGTTGAGGATTTTTGCATCTGTATTCATCAAAGATATTGGCCTGTAGTTCTCTTTTTTGCTGGGTCTCTGGCTTGGGAATCAAAGTGATGCTGACTTTGTAGAATGAGTGAAAGTTTTCCTTCGATTTCTATTTTCTTGGAATAGCTTGAGAAGATGTCTGGTAGAATACCCCTGGGAAGCCATCTGGCCCAGGGCTCTTTTTTGTTGGGAGATTTTTGATAACTGATTCAATTTCTTCACTAGTTATGGTCTGTTCAGATTTTCTATCTCTTCCTGTGTGAATTTTGGTAGTGTGTGTATGTTTTGGAATTTGCTCATTTCTTCTAAGTTGTCCAGTTTGTTGGCATATAATTTTTCATAGTATTCCCTGATGATTGTTTGTATTTCTGAGGGATTTGTTATAATAAATCCATTTTCATTCATGATTTTGTCTGTTTGGGTGCTGTCTCTTTTTTTTTTTTCTTTTTGTGAAGCCTGGCTAGAGGTTTGTCAGTTTTGTTTATTTATTTATTTTTTTTTAAAAACCAACTCTTGGTTTAATTGATCTGTTCAATTGTTTTTTTTTTTTTTTTTTGTTTTTTTTTTTTTTTTTTGTTTATATATTGTTTATTTCTGCCCTAATTTTTATTATTTCTCTTCTTCTGCTAGGTTTAGAGTGCTCTTGTTGCTCTCCTTCTAGTTCCTATAGGTATGCTATTAAATTTTGTATTTGTGCTTTTTCTAGTTTCTTGAAATGTTCCTGGAGTGCAATGTACTTTCCTCTTAGGACTGCCTTTGCTGCATCCCAAAGAGTTTGGATAGTTGTATTTTCATTTGTTTTCATATAGTTTTTTAATTTATTCTCTAATCTCCTAATTGGCCATTCGTTCTTTAGTAGGGGTGTTCTTTAACCTCCATGTTTTTTGGAGGTTTTCCAGATTTTTTCCTGTGATTAGTTTCAAGTCTCATAGCATTGTATGAAGAGGTGCATGGTATGATCTTGATTCTTTTATATTTTTTGAGCACTGCTTTATGACCCAGTATGTGATCTATCTTGGAGAATGTGCCATGCGCACTTGAGAAGAAAGTGAATTCTTTTTCTTCTGGTTGTTGATTTCTATATATATCTGTCAAATCCATCTTGTCCAATGTGTCATTCAAGTCCATTGCTTCTTTAGTGATTTTCTGTCTAGTTGATCTATCCATTGCTGTAAATGAAGTATTAAAGTCCCCTGCTATTAGCACATTCTTATCCATAAGATTGTTTCTGTTTGTGACTAACTGTTTTATGTATTTGGGTGCCCCCATATTCGGTGCATAGACATTTATAATTGTTACCTCTTCCTGATGGATGGACCCTGTACTTAATATATAGTGCCTCTCTTCATCTCTTGTTACTGCCTTTACTTTGAAGTCCGGTTTGTCTGATATGAGTATGGCTACTTCAGCTTTCTTTAGACTTCCAGTAGCATGATAGATATTTCTCCATCCCCTTACTTTCATCTGAAGTTTTCCTCAGGTCTAAAATGAGTCTCATGTAGACAGCAAATAGATGGTTTTTGTTTTTTTATCCATTCTGCTACCCTGTAGCTTTTGATTGGAGCATTTAGCCCAATCATTTACATTGAGTGTTATTATTGAACAATATGGGTTTAGACTCATTGTGTTCTTTATAGGATTCATGCTTGTGGTGGTGTCTCTGGTACCTTGTGTTTCTTGCAACATTTCCCTCATAGAGGCCCCCTTAGGATTTCTTGCAGGGCTGGTTTAGTGTTGATGAATTCTTTTTTTTTTTTTTTTAACGTTTTATTTTATTTTTGAGACAGAGAGAGACAGAGCACGAACGGGGGAGGGGCAGAGGGAGAGGGAGACACAGAATCAGAAACTGGATCCAGGCTCTGAGCTGTTAGCACAGAGCCCAATGCGGGGCTCGAACCCATGGACCATGAGATCATGTCCTGAGCCGAAGTTGGATGCTTAACTGACTGAGCCACTCAGGCACCCCTAGGGTTGAATTCTTTCAATTTTTATTTA